AAGCGTCACTACAAATTTCACCCTACTTCTTAATATGGATATGGTTGTGCAGTTGCCTCTAAAAATTCCGTTAAGAATCTTACTTTTTAGTCTCTTGCAAATCTTTTATGCATTAGTAAAAATAAAATGACAATAGTTTTGGGTATTTTGCTTCACATTTTCGTGAATTCAACTACACGAGAGTGTCTAAAAGGATTTTTTTTTTTTGTGGCTTTGCAACGATCTTTTTGTCGCAAAAAATAAAAATATCGATCTTATTATAGTATATTTAGCGACAAAAGCTTGTAGTTGTTAAATACATGAGCATAATGAAACTTATAGCAACAATTTTTGCATCATTTAAAGTCTAGTGACATACTTTATCTTTTTATGTGCATAGAATGATAACTGCTTACAACATCATTTTTATGTTTAGCGACAAGCTTCTATGCTTTCAATTAAATGCATACTGCTATTGGTCATAGCGAGGCTCTTGATAATGCGATGTAATAAAAAACTCCTCTTCCTCACCCTTCTTCGCATGTAATTTTATGCTTGACGTTTTAATGGGAAGGCATGAAGTCCATTGCAATCAAAACGGAATTACATGGGCTTTTAACAGACAGAACTTAAGGGGAAAGGACATGGAGGCACAGAAACATCGATTACTCCTTCAAGCATCTGTATAACCTTTTTCATAGTTGGCCTTAAACAAGGATCCTCTTGAATACACCAAATTGCCACCATAACAAGCTTCTCTACTCTTTTCCTGTCATTTCTTGCCTCCTTATCACTCTTCAACAACTTATGCAATTCCCTATGCCTGTAGCAGTCATAAGCCCAATCAGTAAGAACAAATTCATCTTCATCCTCCATTCCCTGCTCAACATTCTTCCTGCAGCATATGATCTCCAGTAATATCACCCCGTAACTGTAAACATCTGCTTTGGCTGTGATTGGAATGTTCTTGAACCATTCAGGTGCAATGTATCCTCTGGTCCCTCTGATGGCAGTATTAGTCCGGGTTTGATCACTCAATAGAAGCTTGGCCAATCCAAAATCAGAAATCTTTGCTGTTAATGAATCATCCAGGAGTATGTTCTGTGGCTTGATATCGCAATGGATGATCTGCATTGCACAATCTTCATGCAAGTAAAGAAGGCCCCTTGCGATCCCAGATATGATTTGAATCCGTTTGCTCCAGCTTGGCCTTGAGACTCCAAAAAGATAGCTAGCTAGAGAGCCATTGCTCATGAACTCATATACCAGAAGCTTATGTGGCCCTTCGTCACAGAATCCGAGTAATCTGACTAAATTTCTGTGGTGGGTCTGGGCAATCACGCTCACTTCTGTCTTGAATTCGTGCTCACCTTCCTCGATAACCCTGTCTAGTTTCTTGACTGCAGCAAGCTCACTTTGAAGTTGATGAAGTTAGGAAACCTTTATATACTGTGCCAAAAGAACCTTTTCCCAAGTTCTTCTTTGAATCCATCAGTAGCTTCTCTGAGGTTTCGTAGGAAAAGTTCGTATTGCTGTGTTTCCGGAACTACTTGCTATTTTGGGCAACTTCTGTTGTTTTTTATAGAAGTAGTTGACAAGCGAACAGATTGCCGCTACAATATTCAGGAACACTGAGCCGCCTAAAAGAATTGATCCTATCAGGACCAGTGTCCTAGTTTCATATTTCTTCTCAGTGCTCATTTCATCTGTTGAATTAACGCGGGATTTTAATACCTTGATGAAACATGTTGCTGGGAAAGCAGGATCCACTTTTCCATTTGAAAGTGGCAATTTCTTCTTGAAGCAAAAACCAGCTCTAGAAACAGCAACCATACAGTGACAATCATATAAACAGGACTGCCTGCATTCAGTTTCATTGAATTTCTGCTGCACTTCATAGTTCGAAGTGGGCCAAAAAGTACTTGACATTACATGCATATCATACAACTCCTCTGGTTCATGGTTTTCTTGATCCTCCCCATGGCATGTACTTGGCACTCTATCTAGCTTGCAGCCATTGAAGGTGTTATTTGGATCAATATAAGAATATCCAGGAGGACAAGCACATTTTGGCCTGCTATTTGAATCAAGTATGCAATAGCTATTGAACCCACAAACCCCACTACCAAGAGTTCCCAAAGTAGCCAGGCAAATGTTATCAGGTATAGACCAGACAGGGAACCAAGATTGGTCCAAGCTTGTGTTTCTTGATGGCTTGGGATGAGCATACTGTGTAAAGATCCCATCAAAATTCAGTGTTGCTCTGTGGTAGAAATCGCTTGTTGGGACTATCTTTCCTGAAGTCAGGTTAGAGATTTCACCATTCTTTAGAGCTATATACAGGTAACCTGACTCGTTAAATACCAAACGAAAACCAGAATTGAATGAATTACCACTATCCTCTGTGTTGCTGACATAATAAGGCTCATATGCATATTCTGATGGCACTGACATTGTATTAAGGACCAAATTACCTTCTGGTAACATGCGGAGTTGGAATCTTCCCTTCAAGAAATTGCCAGCCATTTGACCAGAGGACAGCTTTTCCCCGATATCCAGTGCTTGAGTTGGCAACATGGTGTCTGTTGGATTCTTGAAGCTCTCCCAGGCATAATCAGATTCATTAAATGCAA